CTGTGCTTTACACAAACATAGGTATAATGTACATATTATATATAGGTACCTAGAAGTTAGAACAGGATAATATCAAATAAAACCGTAACATCCTACGAACGGATACAACGTCGTATTATATTCTCGCGAGACTTGTTGATTTATACTCGCAACGGGTTGTTTTAAATAATATCGTCCACAGAGGGACGTTGCAGTTTAAGGGTGCACACATGAGTTTGCCGTTTGCAGACATGCGGGCGGCCTACAGAGACTCCGGCGATGCGTGCCGTGGGCGTGAAACACTATTTTTTTTAGTTAAATGATTTATAGTCCAAGCGCGTTTGTCAGATAGACAAATAAAAAAAAAAAACGAAATCTGATTCACGCCGTACGTAATCCATTATATATATTTTCTTCCTGCAGACTGTAAAAAAATAATACGTCACCACGACACCACTTATACCTAACATAGTAACATACACACATATAACGTTCTCAGTCTCGTCATTAGACATATATTATTATTATATATAGGTAATAAGTATTATACTATTATACGCATTGTCCTAGGTAAGTTTTTAACAGTGAACGTTATTATAATGGAATTATACACGCGCTGGTACGTGTTGTATATAATATATATATATATACGGAAGAAGCATATACGTATGAAATATTATATAGGGGATAGTCCCTTTTGGTTTTCGCGAATTAATTCTATCCCCGGAAAAAGGGCGATTAGCCGCCGGACCCCATTGAAATGGGCTGATACACCCATTCCTCCCCCATAATACGGTATCGCGCGTCGTTGATCGATCTAACCGCGACACGTTAATAGAGAAATCCATTAATTGTTTGTAGTACGACAAATTTCACGAATCATTTCTACTATACAAGGTGATTCACCAAACATGCTCATTGCTCACCTTTTTTTTATTCTTCAATGACACACTAATTCAGTTTTTGGAATTTTCGAAAATATGCTTTCCAATTCTTAAGATTGTTTTGAAATAGTTAAGGAGTGTCCTGTGAAGAGATACAAACTAACTTAATAAAAACAAACTTGTTTTAAAATTAGAACCCGCCTTTGGTACTGTAACATATTTGGCGGACATATTTTCAACAATATACCCATTAACAATGGGTATATTGTTTAATTGAATAATAACAGTCCCTTTTAATTTATTTAAAGGATGACAGTCGTCCGCCGGATACTTTTTTTAATTTCAACACTGTCGTAATACTACCACTTTAACTATATTATTATTATTGTACTTATCATACTTTATTTATTATCATTTAGTGATCAGCAAAAGTTCTATTTCAAAGTCACTCAGATAGGACATCACTATTTAACATCATGTGCCTATATAATGGCTCAATACTCCTGTTTAAACATTTTCTTACTGTCCTAGAATAATACGTGTTTGTGATGCTGGCCGGCTACAGTGGGTGATATCTTTGGCATAGTGACGTATGAAGGGACGAGAATATTAAATAAAACAGTAATTATGACGATGGTATCAATAGTATGGGGACGATGCTCAGTGAACAATTTTCATTCCTTTCCACCTACAAAATCGCAGAAATCCTCTACATTTAGACACTGAATTATAATCTGCCACTATCACAGCTGGTGGTCCTCTAAGCATTAGTCTATGAACCAAGTTTAAAGCTATTATTGGTACTTATATAATATTATACACAACTACCATAAAATGTACTAAAAATGCTTAATAAGTATTCTTATAATATAATATCTATATTCTATACATAATAAATCTAAATACATATATTTAAAAACAAATTATCTCACGCATGGTTCCCATCTATAGATCATGTATATATCATCAAGTATACTTTACCTTAGCTGTACTGATCAAAATTATTTCTTACTATCACTTGGACTCAATAACTTTAACAATAAAACGATGAAACGTTGAGGTACATATAACTATTTCCTAAATTTCCAATATGTAGATTTCGAATCTGAGAAACAGAATACCATGTTAATAATTGCATTCATTGTTGATGTGTTCATTTATGAATTTAAGACAGGTAATGATTTATTATATTGAAAATAAAAATAAAATATACTTCAAGAACAAAAAGAAACAGGAAAGTTAAAAAGAATCTTGGGAAACTTTTAAGAATTACAAATTAGAACAGTTATCGAAAATAACATAAATATTATTCACCTCAAACTAGCATATATTATTTAAATTTATTTTGAACAAAATTAAAACAATAAATAACATTAATATGAAACAAACAGTCATAATAATAACTATGGTTAGTTTCTTTAGCCAGCATTTATTATATTATTTGTTATAATATAGAATAAAAATAACTTGTTTGTTATTTGAATACGTTTTATATTGTTCGTGGTCAAGACACGATAGTAAGAATTAATACTAAGTACGGCCTATCATCTGGATTAGCGAATACAAATTCGCAGGATCTAAGATTTTGGATTAAATTAGATTGGGTGTCAATATTGCAATTGTTAATTTAGTATTGAAATATGTAAAAGATATAAAAATGTTATCATACATGAATACCTTATACTGAATATTCACCATATGATACTCATCTAGTTGTTTGAATTTTCGTTACCCCTCCGGAGTCTTAACATTCGGTACAGTTACAATAATGTAACTATTACAAAAACTCGTTACTTAGTTAATTTCTTACTTATTTTGTGAAATTGAAAAATTTCCATTGCTTATCTGTTAATTGATATTTATACGCAGAACGTCCTTAAGACTCATAATCCTACGGATTTAGTGGTACGGAATGAAAAAAATCTTACGTAATAATAAAATATTTTATATTTGTTACATAATATATTTAGTTATTTATAGCAGTAAATTATTTATTTTTGTTTACCAAGTAACTGTTGTACAAAGTGAAAGAGTGTTTGTCGGGGACCATTGTGTTGTTATACCAACAATTGGTGTATGCTTTGTAAGCTCAGATCATGGACTATAGACTATAGATATTAGATTATACTATACATGATCTATAAACTTTGTGGTTTTAACCGATGAAACGAACGTGTAACGACCATACTTAATTGTCACACCAATGTATTCGGTACAAAAGTATGTTATATTGTCCACCGTTTCATCAGTCGATCGTCACATCGAAATGGTAACAATACTTGGTTTGTATATATTGTGCACATTGGAGACTGCAGTATTCCGGTATTCCACATTTATCAAATTTATATTATACATACGCCTGAGTATATACTTCCGGTTCCGGCGGACGATGGTGATAGAGTGCACAGTGAACGATATCGTATGCGACAACAATGGTCGACAAGAAGGCATTAAGGCTAACCAGTATTTTAAGGGGCTGAAAGTAGGCAGTTATAATGCTATATAAAGGATCGTTGACAATTAAAACTACAATTAATAGTGATCGCATGTCAATAGCACTATACTTCGCTTTCTTTCGTAATTACATAAAAACTATTTTCCCCGATCCAATACCAAGTGCTTGAAAATAAAACCAACCTCACGAAGCAATAGGTTCTCTTCAGTTGAAAAAAAAATCGGTCGTTCTGTTACAAACGCGTGCTGAAATTCTAAGTTATTTTAGTCAGATGACTTTTATACGGTTATCGTTAACGGTATAGGTAATATTTATACAGTAAATATTTTATTTCAATAAATTATAACTGTGACGCCATAAGCTTGTCGGTTTAATATGTTTTTACCGCGAAACTGTGATAATCTTAGGGCTGAGTACCTTCAACGGATAGAATACGATTCCATACGATGCTTATCGGCGGTGTACCTACCTATATCTTCTGTATACATGAAACGATTACGATTGTTAGATTAATTTTATTTTCGTGCCGCGTTGACTCGTTGGGAAATCATTATGGCATTATTATGTTGATAAGATAGGTACACCACGGCTTACAAAACTTTTATCATAATTTATAGCACATACATTTTAGGAATTTACCAGGTACTAAATGATTATCGGCGGAGGGCGATACCTATTTTGATGGAAAGTAATTAGTTGGAACTTATGAAACTACTTCGGATAATATTTTTTCTATCACCTGTCATATTCGTGTTCCTCCAGGAGACAGGATTGGACAAACCTATTTAACTATCTGAACAACACAACCTTAAAATTGAAGCTCATACAATTTAGTCTATAGACATTTGTTGTTATTAAACTTTTTTTCAATATTATTATGTAATACCTATTTGTAAAAAAAAGAAAATGTATCTCATCCCAATAGCCAAGTTGCTGAGGGTTATTTCTTTAATAAAAAAAAAATATTTTTCTAAATTGTATGTACCTTCTGAATTTCATAAGTTTGGATAAGTATTTTGTTGGAAATTTATTGATTCGGAACCGATTACCATAACCTAGCTAGAGGTCACCAACATTTTCCATGAAGTGAGCTACATACAATTTCTTAAGTATCTGGTGAACTACTACTATTTGTTTAGGTATACCTACTATTTATATTATTACATGTGGTATAAAGGTATATTTAAGTCTTAAACTTTAAGATAGTATAATTAATTTTTAATAAGATCGACTGGTTGGCAACCTATGCCAATACCCGATAATATACATTTTAATTATTTTCTATTCATTGACTATTATCATTTTTCACACTGTAATACACACTATATTATATTAATAGCTTCTATAGACTTTATAGCGTAAAAACGTTGCTTATTCATAATGCCGTATACTCAGACCAAATTTTTTGGGTGGGGATGATCCCCCCACTTGGGTACGACCTTAGGTGCTCAGTATTTTTTTTGGTTTTTTTTTCCAAGCAGATGAAAAACCCTAATTTGGAGATCGTGCAATAATACATTGACATAGTCATATAGACATATAGTTATATGTTTGATAATATATTAGAACCTTTTTTTGTACTCAAATATGTAAACCCCAAAAAAGTAATTATTAGTTTACGATCGGATTCTACCGCAATCAACTACACTAGATGGAAGAATAGTTAACTCACATTTTGATATGTACAAAAATAATATATTTTTTTATAGTAAAAATAATTTACAATTTAAACTTAACACTAAAATGGAAATAAGGCACTTAAAAATAATACAATATGCCTTTATACAGACAGGAGCATCATAAATTACATATAATTTAACAAATCGTTTAAAAATTTAAACTTTTATCCCTGTAAACGTGGTGGTTTTAAAATGAGCAATTTCAAAAAGTCGATAGTCATAGCCTAATATATATTTACTTAGGTAGGTAACAATATTTTAGAAAAGTAAAAAATTCGTTATAAAAATACCTTAAAAAAAATATTTACTAAACATAAAAATGGGTACAAAAAATAATTAAAATTTCATTGATATAAAAACATTAGCAGAATAGTATAATATAATAATTTAGCAATATGCATACGGTACGATTTAGATAATATACATCATATTATTTATATTATTTTGAGATGATAAATTAAATAAAAAGAGAAAAAAGTGTACCTAATCGAAATTAACTTAAAAGCGTAATGACTAGACTTTAAATGTACTATAACAAAAGTTAACAAAAACATAATAAATATTATGAAATCATATATAAAAAAGAATGAATGTTGGAATTCGAATAAAACAATTCGTAATCATTACAGTATTTGTCCACCTTAATAATAATAATAATAATAATCTGCTTTAAAGTGGCAATAACATGTTTAGAAGAAAATTTACCGTGACAAAAACAAAATATCATTTACTACTAATAATAATAATAATAATCATAATAATAATGATATTGTTAATAATAATAATAATAATAATAATAATAATAATAAAAGAAACAAACGGGCTTTCGAATTATTTAAGCCAGTAGACAATTATTGTTTTACCTACATATAATAATAATAATAATACACGATGAATGGAATTTTTTTTAAAAAAAAAATTCGCACGAAGATTTTCGATGTCAATTTTGATTGTCAGTCAATAGTTGGGTGTAGAAATTGGGTGGCATGCGGAATTGGAGTTCACCGGGTTCGAGCTTGTACTGAATGTCGGAGAACAGATTGATGTCGGCCGTCGTCAGCAATTGATGATGTTGTTCTGGTTCGGGCTATAAGAACAAACAAATACAAACAACGCGGTCTTATTAAAATGTTTCACAAATATATTAGTATCGTAGTACAGCAGGATTTCAAACTTTAAAATAGGAAAAATAGCCAAGTAAAGGTAAAACAATTATAAGAGTGCATTTGATTTGTGCTATTTGAGTGTCGGTGTAGTATATACTCACGTGATTGATGTGTTGTTGCTGCTGCATTGCAGGGCTTTGCAAAGACAGGACACCTTGCAGTTGGTTAATGTATTCGATGGCCATTTGTAGGGTCTTGACTTTGCTCATCCTCTTACTCCTGTAACAAGTAAACAAGCACATTATAGTTTTCGTGTGGAGTATGCTGTATATAATATATTTTATTTATGCGTTTTTCTAGATTTTTACACTGTAACATATATACAACGGTGAAACGACTATAATAATAATATAATATTTAATTTACACGTGTGCGATGTTATACTATACACACTATACTGTTCATAATATGGTATAGTGTGCACTGCACGTTTTCCCGTTTTTGACCCCGAAAAGTGATTTGCCGAAACGGCACCGAGCGATGTACTCGCGGCTGCAGAGCAGACGGATTACATATACGTGTAAGTGCCACGCGAGACGACGCTGCTCTGGTGCACAGGAAGTTCCTAACGAGGGTGCGGAAACAACATCTGTGGCGGCGACGGCGACGACGACTAGGACGACGCGCGAGTCACACAAATGGGCCGAGACGGCGAGCGCAATATTGGCGACATGTGACTTAAATTATATATTTTATTATTATATTAGTGGCTTTTATAATACACTGTATACACCTTCCAGACGTAGACGAACCCGAATGCTCGATTGCCGCACGTGGAAACCCGATGATTACGGTATAATAATAATAATAATAATAATAACAACAACAACAATAATGGTAGCGGTTTACTCGGAAATTCCAAAAATCCACAAGGATTGAATACGTTTACGATTTGCAGATTTGGTGTGGGTCGGGGATGGATATTAGTGCGATTGGTGAAACATCCATATTAAAATAATATGTTAAAGGCATATGGGAAATCGAGACGGTTTGTAAGTTGAAAAACGACTGCGATTACGTTACTCTAGGAAATAAATGACGGAAAAATCGTTCGTGCTCAGTGTATATTGTGTACCTGTTGAGCAGTGGCTGTGGTATACTATAATTAAGCGTTTTAAAGCGCATAATAATTGTTCACGTAGCGGCGGGAGGGGTTGTTAATATTTCAGAATCCGCGCGTGGCATCGCAGCCGCGGGGACGACGGAAAACGCGTGTACAGTTATTAAAACAAAAATCGAGCCAGGCACGCGCCGGACGCGCGCATCATTTAAACGTGTGCGTGTACGTATATATATTATATAGTTTATACATAATATATATGATATATCTATACACACACATACACGTTAATACTATACGGACGTCGTAAAGTAGGTGCGATCGCCAATAATAATTGACTGGTGTCGGCGGTCCAGAAGCACCTGTTGTTTTGTTTTTTTTTTTTTATCTGATTCTTTCATTGGTGGCACACGACTACTAAGTGTAAAAAAAAAACCAGTTTGCCGAAAAATAAGACAGCGGCGCCGGCGAAGGGGCGGCACGGAGGGAGAGTGAAAAGCTGGTCAAAATATTATAATAGTATGTACATTCGCCGCCGCGTACCGGTTCCACCCGAAATGTTTTTTAATCTCTTCCTCTTGGCCGGCGCACACGTCTCGTGTAGGTATATAATAAAATATTGATGAGACGTGTGTTTGTGTGTGTGTGTGTGCAGTGTAATATTATTATTAATAACGGGGACCGGCGGCGGAGGAGTAGACGATTCGGTCGTCGGTCATAATATATACATATATTATGTAGAGGTGTATAATGTACGCGCAAGTATAATATTGTATTATACACAGGAGGAGGACTAGGACAAGGAAGAAGGAACGAGTCGAACTGCTACCGACGACGAAGACGTAGACTGCGACGACGACGTTCGCGTCTCGATGCAGGTGCTTTTTTGGTTTTTTTTTAGGTTTTTGGGCGGCTCGTGCCACGGGACACGCCACCGCATCACCTGTCCGGTCGTCGTATAATATAGTTTGACCTCAAGTGCGGCCCGAGAAGACGTTATTACTTATATTTGTATAAAATTGCCGCCGCACGCTAACACTAATTATTACGACCAGTTTTTATTATTATTATTTCGTTTTAATGTTTTATTATCGGTGGCGGTCCGATGGTTCCTTCTTTTATTTTATATTATTATGCGCATAATGCATATTATAATTTTTTATCTCCACCGTTTTTACATAATATACCGTTGACAGCGGGCTAGGGACGAGGAGAGAACTTTTCGGCAGCCCAATCGAACGCCTTTCGCCGGGTGCAACGGAATCGTTAAATTTGTTTCCGATAAATCAAAGACGGCCAATATATAATTACTGGCATTCGCTTCTTGAAATTTCTCGGGTCCTCTCAGGTGTATAATTGTTGAGCTATCATATTTTATTAAGGTATGCGCAGGTCTGTGTTTAAGTCTTATGTACAATATATATAATATAGGTATATATTTTTAAACAATTCTATGTAAAACTTAAGTGGATGTTATATGATATTAATGTATATACATATATATTTAGTTTTTCGGTCGTTAAACATTACACTAATACTCCGGATATCCACCATTCCACATGTATAGCTGCCGTGTGCGGTGATAACCGAGTGTACCTAAAGAAAATCGTTTGTTTTATACCTAACCAAACGGACTTCCGAGAATTTCCGAGATAAAGCGCGGTCGAGGCCCTGGTGCAGGATTTGTTTTTCGGAAACATTATGTATCGTGAAAGGATTTTACAGCCCCGGCATACAATATAATGTAGGTAATATAATCTAAAAATACGTCTAAACGTGCGTGAACGGTCGGAAGGGAAGGTTTAATTTTTTAAACAAACATTTCGGTTCATGAACAGTGCACGGATGGGGGTTAACGACGCGGCGATTAGGAGGGCCTTGAGAACAAAAATGAGATATTATAGTATGTTATACGAATGTATGAAGAAATATTATAGCATATTCTGTTATGGTTTGGGTACACGAGAGGATGCATGTGATCATATTATGTGTTTAGGTACTATAGCCGTCATTTTCTGTGTGGCATGCCGTTGAATGACTTCCAAGCACTTGAGACAACTACTACAGTAGTATCGTGTTATTGACAGTATCTGTCATTGAAACTAAATTCATCGTTGTGCCACACGCACCATAGAAGAGTAATCTGGTAACTATTAAAATGTCGTTTTTATTGTTTTCATATTATTCAACACGGCGGAGTTTAAAAAAAAGGATTCGATTAAATAATAAATGACGCAATTCAAGAATTAATGTACGCTTAACAATATATTGTTGGTTTTGTTTGTGAAACTCATAAACATAAATTGTTAATTTCATAACCTTCGCATTATAATGCAGTACAATGTCGAGTTGCTTATTAAATATTATCATATTATATTCTACTACACTTGGCGTATTATTCTTATATGTTATAGAAATTGTTTTTTTTTTTACACAAAAAGGGTAGATATATTTTGATGTATGAGCAGTTGGCACAGAACGTCAATGTTTTATACAACTATACACTTTATATATTTGATCGATCATTTTATACGAATATTATAGAGCACGCCGTAGGGTTTGTATTTGAGTTGTGTGTTCGGTATACAATGAGATTACAGTTCACATATAGATCGGAATTATATTAATAATATTGCTCAAATAAAATATAACATATTATTATATAATGACGATATTTTGCTCGAATAATTTAGTCGCTTGTTGTTATAAATTACGTATTTATATATTTAACAATTGCAAAATATCAGGAGAATAATATTTTTTACGGAGAGTGAAAGTATCACTTTTATTATCCAGTTAAACTTTTCACATTGTTATTGCGTTGTGCAGTGAATAAGGTTATATATTGAAAAAAACAAATAATTATTGTCAATCGGAGCCAATTAATATTCCAGATCACCCAATTTGATCGCGATAAATATAATATATTATAAACTATAATAGTAATGCAATTGCGTTTTCCATTAAACTATACAAAAGTAATATAATGGTATTGCACTCACTTGTTTTCTTCGAGAGGAACGACTTTTCGGAGCCTAGCGAAAGCCCAGTTGACCGCCTGCACTCGGCGTCTCTCGCGAGCGTTCCGCCTGGCCACCACTTGGGCGGGTTTCTGTCCAGCCGGCGTGTCTTTTGAACGACTGCCCTGCTTGGCTTTAGATAAACCAGCCTTCTGGCCACCACCAGTGGATGTGGACGCCAATGAGGGGCCGGGCGACGAGCTGGTCGTGCTGCAAATAATCGTGTTTTGACTGTCCGAGTCCGATAGCCATTCTTCTTTGTTGTTGTGAGCAAATGCTTCTGAAAGTAGAAAGAATACATTATTTTCGGTTTTAAGGACTGCGACGAGAGTTACCGGAGTACGATATGTATAATGTATATTATAATTTATAATTTGTGTGTGCGAGTGTGAGTGCTTATGCTCGTTGTGTTCTGTTGTAATTTGTAATGCGACGCAGATAATAAGTATAATGTACCTACATAATACTATATTATATAGTATACCTATATACATACTTATATATATATATATATATATATATATAATTCAGTTTAAAAAACGGGAGTAAAAACGAAATTTGAAGAGCTCACGCGCGAACGATAAGAACTGCCATTGTCGTTATAATATGTAAGCATATACCTACGCGCATTATCTCTCTCGTTGTGTGTACGCGCGGCTTATAATAGAGTGGAGTGATGCACGTATTTGCATACAAACCGACCGATTAAGTATATATTATTATTATTATTATTATTATTATGGTTGTTGTTGTTGTTGCTGATGTGTACTTATTTTATAATATATGATATATATATATAATCATCGTTCCATTAGGCAACCCCTTTCCTCACTCTCGACCACCATCCACCCCCATTCCATCACCATCCTCAAGAGTACTGACGAGGCACTGTGTACCTATATATGTACTTTAGTTTTTTAAGTTTTGACAACGGGGTGAGTCGTCATCAGTGGTTATTTAGTCCGCTTGTGAAAAAAAAACCGGAAACGCTAACACGGCCCTTCTTCTGTATTGCCGTCAAACAATAGGCACACTCAACATCGAATTCTCGTTTTATTATTATTAAAATTATTTTATTTCATTGAAACGGTGCTCGGGCTCGGAGTGAAATAAGAACATAACATCCGTTAAAAAATTTTAAATAAAAAAAATTCCGGGATAATATACATTACATGTTATAACGATAAACATAATATTATACATTATAATATTATAAGTACGCGGCGGCGACGACGCATGTTACATAGACGAAGACGACGTCCAACGCGCGACCATTCGCGCCAGCGAACAGTTTAATTTCGGACAAAAACTGGTTCTGGTTATAATCGTCAGATATTATCGTCGAGTTATATTATACTCATTAATATTGATGGCCAAATAGGTATATAGAATATAATACATTATTATTATTATATTATAGTGGTGGAATACCTATAATAATAACAACAACAAATTGTATCGCCGTCGGTTGAAATCACCGCGAGATAAGAATACGGACGATACACAATAATATTATGATGATAATAAATAGGGGTGATTTGCATATCGTTACAATACCGCATGCACGTACGACGTACAGGTAGAAGCGCATTTCGAAACTCACCCAGCTGTTGACTAGAAGAATGAGTCGGTGACGGCGGACTTGAAGTCTCCATAAGTGTTAGTGGTATATGTATATGTACCTACAAACACTCCGAGAAAAGCGTTTTTCAGCGTTTTTCAACGTTTTTCGGCGTTTTTCTCCGGTTTTCTTACACGACTGCGAGCTCGAAAACGAACAAGGTAAACGTACCGGCGGACAATATGGTGGCCGGTACGAAACTGGATCGGGTACGAACGGCGAATAGGTATTTGGGCTCTGAAGAATTTCGAGATCGCATTTATCGTACAAACATCGCAGGTATACGCGCACACATACTATATAGGTATAACCTTTTGTGTGTTAAACCAGTTTTTTTTTGTACGTTCCACCACCGTCGTTATACGCATATACACACGGGGATGTTGAAGGTACCATGCAAAGCCGCCTAAAGGTCTGGGCGGCGCACAATGGAGAGGGCCGTGTATAGGGTTGTGTTTGTGTGCGTGTATTTGTGTATAAGTATGTGTGCATGTGTACGTGTGCGTATATGTGTGTGTGCGAGTGCGTGTGTATTTGCCAGTGTGTGTGTCGTGCGAGTTTGCCACAGGGATTCCGACCCTCTACACAAAGAGCGTCGGTTAAGTACGGTATTTCGTCGTATAATATATAGGTATTATATAATAAAATATATTACCTACCTATACACATCGGAGGGGCAAATGCAACAAATTTTTTTTTTTTTAAATCGCGTTGGGGTACCTTTCGCCCAAGGGAATTCGTGATGTGCAGCACGCCGGGAGGGGCGCAAAGAAGAGATGGGTGGACAATAGACACACAAACGACCGAGTACCCCGATTACGTAAGGCCGCGTTGCATTATTATTATTATTATTATATACCTGAGCACTACCGGAGTTACACGTTCGCGTCGGCTATTATATTCCGTAGACAATAAGTTTTTCTTTGGTGGACCTCACGTGGTTCCAACGTGATGGTACATTTACGTATGTCCAGAGTAAAATAATTTATTATCTCGAAAAAAGAAAAAAACAATCGGATCAAACCGTCGGATATCGAATTTGTGTGCGTATATATGTGTACATTATTGTACACTATAATACACCAATACATATTATAATATATATTATGGAAGTATTATCTGTATATAATAATAAAAATAATATATTATTGCACCTATTAATGGATAATATATATTTTGTTGTCAAAAATGTATAATATTCACCGAGATTTTTGCCCACTGTAATACTCCCTGCTGTGCGTTTATTACCTGTAGATATGTATAGGTATAATAAGTACATATTATACTCGTAATACATAGGTGCCTATATATAATATAATGATTCTTTTAACACTCGTTATCTAGAAAAGTATTGTCGTTACTGAAAAAATATACATATTTTTTTTACATAAGTTGAAGTCTTTACAATACGACATTTTTGAAAAAAGTAATATTTTTCCTATTTCTTATCGTTCTTATTAATAAGTTTCTTGAGTATTTTTCGAATGACAGCGTACATAATTGGTTTCATGTTCTGAAGCAGAATATATTTCTTATAATTATACACGCACAAAAATCAAATTTCAAACGAGTATTCAATTTGTTCTGAGTATCTACCTATACTTAAAGTTAAATGAGTGGAATATAGTAGACCTACAACATTTTGCAGGGTTCCAATATGTTTTACTTCACACTACTAATCCATTAATCTATACTTAAAAATACTTAATATGCTACAAGTAATAACTAATTATATATTATACTCGTTTGGAATTCAGTTTTTACACATCGAAATTTTTAAAAAATAATCCGCCCTGAGATACCTATAATATAAAATTATAATAAAATATTTAGGTATATTCTCTGACTTGAAACAAAGTAAACACTTACAAAATGATTATGATAAAAGACCCATACTTTTATGTTTTATTAACTAACTTTTTCCAAAAAAGATGTTAAATCGTAAAAAAAAATATTCTCAAAAACGTTAATACTTTTTGAGACAATGCGTGTTTAGTGTTAATAATAATCACTCTGTATTATATTACATACCTTATACCTATACATAAGTTTCGGACACAGGCCGTCGGCCTTAATATAATAATACACGTGAGATCAATAGAAACACGGTAAACAATGTAAAGTCTATAGCGGGCAGACAATTTTTTTCCGAAGGTATAAAGTAGATATATTACTATATATTATACTCGCAAGCATTCATACACCTTATGTCATGGACCATATGACGTACATATATTTCAATTCCTTGGGAACAGACCTCGCGTATATATAGCCCATATGGTCTCTCTAGACTAGACGAGAACGGGAACGCGACGCAAACACGCAACATATGGTGCCCAAAGACGTTAATGAAAGGCGTTCACCTTTTTTCCACCCTCTCGATCTGTCTGGTAACGGTAAGGTCCGGACATTTCGCGGACTTGACGCGCACATTTGGTCATAACATCGTAATAATATATATTGCAGCACCTATACAGTGTACACAATATATATATACATAATACAGTTCGTTTTGCCGAACCACATATATCATATAATATATACGCCGAGCATTATGGTTGCAGACTATATGGTATAGAATATATGTATATACGAATGAAACGCTATAAACAAAACAACAGTTGCGCCGCTGCAGTAGTGGGCGCTGCCACCTGAGCCGAAAAACTGACCAACCGTCAAATTAAATAATTTCACCCGAACCGAATCTACTTCCGGACTGGTTATTACGTTATTATGTCCCACGCCGTACGGATAATCTCGATTTAACGCGCGCAACCCTGTCCGACTCGTAAAGTATATATGGATATACTACAGAAGGGTTGCTGCCACAGAGTACAACAATTGCTCCGCACCTGAGCGAATTATTCGAATTTTTCAACCCCAAGCGATGACGAGGACTCTGCATGCAGTGTACAGTGCGTGGGGAGACTAGGCAAAATGTTCACGGTTCGCGTAACACTGTAACAACTCATTTCCTAGTGTGTGAGAACCAAAACAATAAATAAAATAAAACACAAACCTCCGAGTTCCGGCGGTTGAGCTCTTGTCTCGTTATTGTGTATTATTGCCGGGCAAAACGGACAAATCTGTAACGAATTTTTGTTTCCCTCTCCCCCTTTTTACATAGCTAATACGCTTGTATAATATGTTTACCACATATAGCACGTATACACTCACACACTCCGACACTTGCACCATATTACAAAGAATGATTAAAAATTATAATATTATATCACAGTATTGTCGACCCTTACCTGCGTCGGATCCGGCGGTCCACCAGTCTTCCTGTACGTTGCCTTGGTCTACTCTGGAGCAGAATTGCATGAAGGACGGCATGCTAGATTTTAGTTCTTCGCCTAGGCTCATCATCGCGGAGCCTTTTGTGTTAAAAACCTGGAATGATACAAATAGAAATAGGACTTACGTTGATATACACTTCTAGAATATAGCACAAAACATATTATTTTAGGATGATACGATAATATAGTAATATAATATTATTGACATGATTGCGTATTGAAATAGAATAAATATAATAAAATAATGTACAAGACTCCTCACGAGTCTCGTTTTTAGGGTCAGATATTGTTTCAACCACCTTCCCGGGACGCCACCACCGGTTTGGATTATTAATTATTATTGTCTTCGCTGTCTTCGGTTCTAATGTTTGTACTGATAAACTACAGGTTTATTATATATGCACGCGTGCGAGTCGCATCTGCTTTTGATAAACAAAATAAAATCGCCCGCCTTTAACCACGCGCGCCTGTTGCTTTGGTTTGCGCAAGCTGCAATGTCGCGAGTGCGTACCTATATATGTATAATATGTCTATATTATGGTATATATTACCCTCGTAGCGTGGTTTTACGACGGTCGTATAATCGATTTACTAGTTTTCCAATCAACCCTCAATATTATATACGACCGTGGTTGTAACCTAAACAATAATAATAATAACAATATATACCTAACCACGGGCGGCACTGCAGTACAGAGATCTTCCCTTTCCCTTTCCAAACACGCGCACGACCTATGTACAAGATCTATATAGATAATAGTATAATAATATATACTGTAGATAAATACTATGATTGCTCTGCGCTCGATTATCGTGTGTGTGTACACAGCGAGAGTCTTATCGCAAACTAAACAATAATTTGTCGGCGAGTCCATCGTCGAGAACTGTACATAATAATATAACATATAAGGTAAATGTTAGTTTGTTTGAAAAATAAAATCCATTAGAAACAATATAATAATAATATATAATATGTAATTGGCCGCGGCACGTTTTCAAAACGACAACTGGTCTAACAAGCTTGGCTACGTTAATCATAGTTCGGATCTGTCACTGCAGTCGTACCGCCTTTATACGTCGTACCTACCATAATAAGGTGACGTATTGTTTTTCGTTCGTTCATTCATCGGAACGCTCTTCGGCGATAAGCCGTCTCACACCACTAATCGAAATCGAAATTACATAAGTATAGGCATATACAGGCGTGTAATGTATATTATATTATTATTTTATTTTACGTTAATAATAATAATATAATGTATGCTCGGAAACCGCTGTCGGGCCCGGTCATGTTTTTTATTCGAATGTAATTCGTCGGAATATATATATATCATTACGATCGCGGTCGGTTGAATAACTCTCGCGCCGCGGCTTTTTATACATACCTAGGTAGGTATTCGAATGCATAATAATTTTTTCTCTTTTCGTACACACTTCGACGGACCCGGGATTTGTGCGCGCCCCATGAAAACCGGTTCTCTATACACGCATTCTACAGGGGGTTGTGCCTGCGTGCGTGCGTAAAGGGCTTATTATAATGGAGGGTTGGTTAATGGTTTCGTATAAACATATATTTTTTTTCCCAGTTTCATGCTCGAGTGCGATCGTACGCTGCCGCCCCGTTTCCCTCCACCACACCACCGTTTCATGACTCTCTTTCTGTTTTTCTACAGCGCGCACCAACGGCAGCAGCGTCACAAGTATAATACTATATTATATACTATGTACGGAAACCGTTTGGGGAGGAGGGAATTATTCACCTATACACTCGTGCATTATAAACGCACGCACATCAGCCCCGCGTGTCTCCCATTTTGCAAGGGTGGTTGTTATTCGCGACGGGCTTATAGTATTATATTATACAGCTATATATACTTAAACGATTTGACAATGTCGCAATTCCGTTCTGCTGCAGACGGGTTTGTCTAGGTTCTATTCTATGGATGGCCTGATTTGAAAATTGAACTGCTCGGGGCTTAAAAACTGTATCCACTTGCTAGTGCAGTATTTTATTCTAACGGACAGAAATCATACGCACTGCGAACTGGCTGAATTCGATTGATTTATAAGAGAGATAAACATACATATGATGTGCTGTGCGGAACTACAAGATTTGAGAAACCTAAAGCAAATAAAAGTTACTATGAGAACAAGATATTATTATAATTATGTACTTTCGACGATTATCCTTCATAGATGTCGAAACGCGTTAAGAAAAACGTGTATTGTTTTGGTAAACGTTTAGAATAATTTACCCGAGAATTGTAGACGGTATAGGAAGTCCACGCGAAGTTTTGTAGATTCGAATTGCGCGGTATTTAGAGCTTTAATTGGTAAATTTACGTAAAATGTTTTGTCATAAAATTATAAAGGATAGAGATTACAGTGTATGTAAGTCTTTTTTTTATATAATATATTTGTTACAATTAACGTTATCCGCGTCGTTCAGCGGATGGAAACGGACGACTATACGACAACCGTTGTAGGACGCCAAATAACAATGGTAATCTACATGTTTAGCATAACGACTACCTGCATGGACTTAAAAAAAGTGTTGACTCAAATACACGCGCACGGTAACCCCAAAAACCCAATATAGACAATATTATTATATATACATATTATACGTTCATAATATATTTTAAGTATACCGCCGTCGCATACGATCATTATTATATTATATATTTGTTATTCATAACCGAACGTCTTACGCGTACCAGCATGAAACATGCATATTATAGTGTCTGGATCCCGTATCCTTAAAATATGTCTGCCGAAGGACATGATGTATATTATATTATTATGCATTATTTTCACCTCGCCCGTCGCCGCCGGTTAAGTACCGACTCGCGTGCTGCGGTGTGACACACGATACCGTTGTCGCGCATTTTCTTGGGCCAGCAAAACCATATATATTATCGTGGCGTATAGGTAGATGCATAATAATAATAACAATAATAATAATACTATGGGACTAGATTGTGTGTATTTTCGGTGTGTGTGTGTGTGTGTGTGTGCTATCATACGGGACGCACACGGGTAATTTACACATAAAGATAAATTATTATTGCAGCGATCTACAGCGAAATGAAATAATAATAATAATAATGAAAAAAAACAAAAACAAATATACTTATGTTAAAATACTACAACTATAATAGTAGTGTCTTCTGTTTAGGAGCCCGAACCCGCATTGTGCTCGCACAAAGGAACAGCCACTTATTATACGCAAACACACACACACAGTGCACAGCCTACAACGACATGACAAATTACTCGGACGATTAACGACACGTCGTACCAACTATCTATGTACGGATTACGGGTGCCCCCCGCACCGTTAAAGTCGCCGCCGCGTCACAGATCGCGGTGTTTAATCCGAACGTGATATCGGATAAAAATATATGTATTAATAATATTGTTATTGTCACCGACGCGTATTGGCCAATAAAATTTGACTTTGGCGCGAGACAAACGAGCAACCACCGTCTCTCCCCGTACACTGGCTGGTTTTACGACTGTGATAATATTATAACATAGGTATTACGTTATATTTTTATACACACACGTGTGTCGTATAAAACGCTCGTTGATATTGTTTGCACACACAACAGTGGCCCCCGTATAGACGAAAAGTTTATCGATCGTACCTATATCGAAATAAAAAGAAATCCGGGTGTGCAGACCCGGTGGCCGTGTGTATCTATATATTGTATTATACGACGACGTGGTACTACTTGTCGTAAACCTGGTGGAGCTGTAAATTTCGCGTTAAAATAAAATAAATTCATAATACGAAACGATAAATGACGTGTGTATATAATACGGGATCGTGACCGCGCATGACATTATTTATTCGCTCCCGCGCGTACGTGTTCGGTAGGCCCGCATCGACCTTATATATATACAAATACGTACACGGGTTACTCTATATACCTACGTATACGACTTTTTAAATCCGTACACGGTAAAACGGGCACACAATATAATAAATAAATAAATAATAATACAAATATTATACCGGACGCGTACGTGTGGTACCCTCTTTTTCCCCGCCCCGAGTAAAAAAGAGTTCTCGTCCGAGTACACCTACCAGTTATTACTTACTACGGTGCACCGGATACGCCGCGTAAAAACAACCCGTGCGAAGCGGAAACTGAAAAATTGCTTTTCGATGTATTTCTCTCCGTCACTACCCCTCCATCACCCTTTAACGCGTCGCGTTGGTACGAGTGAGTGTGCTTATGCTAAGCGATTAAATTTACAATAACAAAACCTAACGACAACGGTGCAAGTAGAATTAACCACGGCCGGAGGACAAACCAGCCTCGATAATTCGAGGGGAGAGTGGTCGGAGCGAGTGATTTATAATTGTTTGACTGGCGAGAAATTTGAAAACCATTTGCAAACACTTCTATTATTAATTACAATTTTATTTAATACACGTCGCAGATTTATGCGTTGGAAATTAATGTAAAATAGGTTAGGTTAGAATTAACAACTGCATAATAATAATTTATAAAATAAATACAAAGGGTTTCGTAGAAGACTTTTTCAAATGTAAATTCGGTGATATTGACTCATTATAATACGAACATTGAAACTCAATATTTTTTTTCACAACGGGGGGGGGGGATAACCATTGACTTGGTCGATACCCTTTGCAGGATCGGTTCTTGGACGTGACAACGAATAAAGGTTTAGGAACCTATAGCTGAGGAACGGACTTTTAAATAAATCAAATTGGCCGTTATATAAATATGGATTTGAAATATTATACAATCTATTCCTTTTTAAAAATTTTTTTTAATGGAAAAGCTTAAAAATAGCATTTACATCCTATTAAAACGAACTATAACAGTGCAAAAATTTAAATGAACCAAAATGTGAACCTTTTTTTTTTACTTAAGATATTAATAATTGTATAAATAGGTTGTATGATCACAGAATATTGAGCAACTTAAATTAAATAGTTTAAAAAGGAATTTATGATTACCCCCGGTAAAAAACTTTTTGAAACAATTATAAAATTATGATATATACCTATTAATACTTCGTGAATTTCAGTTATGTGAAAAGAGTAAAAATTAAAATAATAATAAAAAATATGAACATAATTATGATAACAAAAAAAAAAATAAACGATATAATATAAAAATATTAAATAATTAATGAAAAAAAAATTAATAAAATCGTTTACCTTCAAAGAAAAATAATCTGGAAGTTCGGCAATAACGATGTTATTCGTCGGAGATGTAGTCGATCCGTGGCTTGAAAACTCTTCTGCAGCAGCGGAGAGGAGTGGAGATGAAGCCGGCGGCGTCGGTGCTTGAAGGTATATAGAGGTATACCTGTCTGGTACTTTACAAACGAATGACAGCAAAATATATTAATAAGATACCGTGAAGCGTGTGGATGAGAAGCTTGGACGTGAGTGGGTAAGCTTGGGAGCGAGCGTCGTGTACGTGTGCGGTTCGAAACGCGACTGATCGTGTCCGGGGGTTGCGGCGCCGGTGTCGCCGCTGAGTATACGCTGTTCGACGGGACGGCGCGCGAGAGAGAGAGGGACGACACGCCGACGGGGGTGAGCCGCTGCAGTTTGTGTCTATAACATCACTATATACGTGTATGTATTATATATACGTATACATTGATATGCATAATAGCAGCGTTATGCGCATATATATATATATATAAGGGAACAGCGCGCGGCCATGTCGGCGGCGGCGGCTCTTGTCATCCCCACTGCCGCGTCGACGCCGCCGGTGGCTCGCGCGCGCGCCCGACCGGACACCTGGAAACGCGGCGCGCGGGCATATATTCCGAAGGCACGCGCCATCCCCACCGCCGAGCGGCGGCGGCGGCGGCGGCGGCAAAGAATGGTACGTACGAAAAAAAAAAACAACGACCCAAGAGACGAGTATTCATTACACACACACACACACACACACACACACTCGGGCGCGCGCGCACATCGAGCACTCTGTTGCTGGCGGGCAGCAGCTCGTGGGAACTTAAAACGCCAACCGGTTATTTTTTTCGTCGTTTTTTCGGTGCACTTCTCTAGTCGTCGCCGCCGCCGCCGCCGCCGCCGCCACCATGCCTCCGGTTACCAGACTACCGTCGAAGGCCACCGCCACCGTCTCGAGATATATATTATATATATATAATATACTTAATACATTAATAGTGTGTGTGTGTGTGTGTGTGTGTGTGTGTGTGTGTGTTTTGTGTAAAAGTGTATCGTAATAAGTCGACCGGCGCGAAAATCCTGTCCGAGCACGGGTCGCGCAAAACGCGTATATTTATGATACGTATGTGTGTGTGTGTGTGTGTGTAGTATATCGCTTTGCTCTACATACGTCGTCGTCGCCGTCGGAAAAAACGCGTTTTGAGTCGACGTTCATCAAAGTCTCCGGTGAGGCGGACCGTATACGTCGTCGGGTCCCATCTCATCGCGCCGTCTGCAGCATCGCAAACGCGAATTCTAATAGGCGTCGCACGATTTGTTTCCTCTTCCGACTTCCGCCGCTTTCTGCAGTGGTCGGAAAAACGCCAAACTCGAATCACCTCATTTCCTCTCTGAAAAACTCTGTGAACTTAATATTTTGGCGGAAAACCAAAACGATGTATTTCACATATTTGCATTGGAATTTAGGCATCATATTCGCATTTTATATTGTGGATGTATCCATCACGACGAAACCAAAATTTGAAAAATAGATTTATAAACACCCAACTACCGAATTATTATAAATGTGTTTATTCGATTTAAGTACATATGGTCCCGTAGGCTGCTGTCGTATTTATATATATGATACATTAATACTGGTTAGATTCATAAAATATTTTATATTTACTAATATATTATTAAGCCGATGTAAATAAATGTAAATACAAACCATAAACGTCCATCAATATTCTAATTTATTTCCAAGATGAGATGCTGTTAAGCTGTTTATAATAACTTCTGAAGCTTAGTTTTGAAATCATTCAAACAGAACCTGTTTACCAGTAGGTACAACCTCGCATCCGACATGCGCTTCTTATGATAAATAGATCATTTTTGGATAAACGGTAAATAGATCATTTTTAGCAACCATTTAGACCGGTTTTAAAACTTAGAAATATAGATAACAGGTATAGGCTACTGCTGGTTAGTCCTATCAAAACTCTCAAGTACTAATTTAATTTTCAAAACAAGTTGAACAGTACTATCCGAGTGACCCGATGGTCAAATGCAATTTCAAAGAACACGGCTGTTAAAAATTAAAATTCATAAAACGCTATGACTGGAATACATCTATAACATTTTAAATATCAGTTCTTTTATCAAATTCAGATAATTACATTTTTTTTAAAGTAAAATAATCATTACGTAAGACATGTTTAGCATTTTACAAGAAAATTATCGATAAATGAGATCATTTTATTCGTAAAAGAAACAAATCAAAACCAATTTATAATATTATTATTTATAGATACAGAAAAATACATTTCGGAATTGTATACTTATTGAATATTTTTTTAAACATTAATTCTTAAATAATATGTAAGTGTAGGTATTAATAAAGCTTTATAATTTACAAAATATGTCAAATATCACATACAATTATCTTTAAACCTAACATATTTTAACAATTAATCTGTCAGACTAATTTTCCAAGGTAAATAATAGTTTTAATATTTTTTAAATATAGGTATACCTACAATATAATTTTTGTGATTTATTCGAAGATTCAATTTTATATAGATACAAATTAAATACGTAATAAATAACATGTGGCGTTTTTCTATTAGTCGACGAAATTTGAATATAATGCGGATTTTTCTTTTTAACATAGTAAAACGGATTCCATTACCACCCTATTGATTTTTATGTAAATTATACTGTTCGATATTAGCATTTTAAATGGTAAATGAAGAAGTCCACCATAATTGATCGAACATTGATACGTGGTTTTTAGTGTTTATGATCATTGGCTTAAATTGTATATTTAAATAAAGACATTCGTGTTTGCTTAACTGTATAAATGAGTTTAAAATCGATTCATTGCTTAATAAATGTAATTATATAATGATATTATACATTCAATATGTGTGTACAAGTGTTTTCTTGAATAATAATAATGATAATAATAATAATTTTGACATTTGACAATGCCGGCGTTATAATTGGGATTATAAATCGATTTCATTAAAAAATATTTATGTTTAAGTTATTGGAATTCTCTTAATAACGATGGTATCAAAAATATATCAATAAAATATTATATATTTTTACCCATCTACTACCTATATTATAACCGTCATTGTTCAAGAAACCAATTTTAAAATCCTAAGTAAATATCTTGGCTAATATATAGTGGCTTTCCAGGGTCGAACACAATTGATGTGAATAACGATCATGTTGTTTCCAATTTTCAACTAACACCTTTGCAGTTCATAAAAATATTGTATTGTTCGATTTCTAGAAAAACCTACACAGAAACCCAACTATATAAGATAACGAGAATTCAATATTTATGGGATTTTTTTTATGTATTTTCAGAACTAAATTAGTTTTATTTTTTGATGGAATAATCTTGAGAGTATAAGGTAAAACTTTATTTCTTATAAAGTATATATAAAATATATACATGCATGCAATAATTATAAATATCCCAAATACTTTTTTGATTTCACATAGAAAATAATATCATCTTGTTTGTATGATATTGGACTTAAGATAAATAATATTAAAAAAGTGATAGGGTTGTTACTATTGTTTCCAATATGTATTTCTAATTTAAAATACTTTCCGATATGATTTACCCTTAAACAAAACGTAAAACCATTTATCGCGTTCATTGTCAAAACATTTTACACAAACAATTATTTCTCATTACTTCGTACAACATTCGAATATTTTATGATGTTCAAAATGCATCTGCCTAACGAAAGAGTGAGTACCCATAGGTATACGTAAAAAAAACTACCTCTATATATACCTCCTATAACATGAAAAGCCCGGCGGGGCGGTGGTTGAGGTTTTTTTTATACGTATACATTCTTTTTATCAAGATAAATGATGATTTAAAATTAGAATATAATTAGAAGATATATAAATGGTCATCTAGTGATGGGTTGTTTTTTTTTTTAGTTTAGTTTGTTCACCCGACCGACCACCCTTAACGCTGGATCCATTTATACTGAGGATAATGGTCGATGTTTTTTATAAAGTCTTAAATAAAACACACTGACCGCCGCCACCGCCGCCACCGCCTATTCATTAAACAACGTACTTAACGAAGGCGCGTGCATCAAGACTATATAATATAGTGACTTGAACGCCCGTCGGCGCGGCGGCAGGCAATGCCACGTTATAATAACAATAACAGGGTGAAATGGACAGGGATATCTTTCGAGTCTTATTATATTATATGTACGATAAACGTTTCCAAAATGATGTTACTACAACATATTATTAACATTATAAACAAATGTAATATAACATATTAACTATTATAGGATACTGTAAATTGAAAATAGCTGTTCAGATGGAAAATTGCTTAAGTTATCCGGTATAATATGAGTTTTTAAATAGAGGGCTAGCCAAGCATTTAAGTTCTTGGGAACCATTTTAAGTTAGTATATAGAGTAAAAATACATACGCCTTTATAATTTACATTTTTATTTTTATTTAAGTATATTTAGTGAACTAGGTATAAGTTCATAATTTAAAAAATGATAAATATTCCACTAAATAACATTCGAGTGTGGTAAATGGTAAGTATTTGAGTACTACAATTATACATCTAGAACTAATTTGTTGACTATTTTTGATGAGCTGAAATAAAAGTATATGCCAAAGTCGCTGATAGAAATCTTAAGCCAGCTGCAGTGTGAATATTAAGCATGTATAGTGCAGGTGCATACACTATATGAAAATATAAATTATAAACATATCCTATATTTTATCTTGATAAAAACACTTATCGAATTGATAGCATGACCATGACGTAAGTACGAAATCGTAGTATAATAATATATTGTATCTATATATTATAAATAATTAAATTTAAAAAATATTAACGTAAGGCCTTTAATTAAATCGAATTAGCTTATACCAATAAAAATACTATGTACAAAGTATAAACCTACCTAATTAAAATTAAAATTCTTAAAAATGAATAAGCAATTCGTTTATATTTTTTTAAACATTGTCACAATTTTACATACATTGCAAATTTTACATGTGGTATGGTTAAAAAATAATTTCATCGATTCGAATAATTTGGTGACTCCCAAGAGGAAATAAAGTTAGGGTATTTTTTAGATTTTCAAAATAATTAAATAATAAGTAATTTTTACTGCCATTTAAAAATAGGTTGAATATATTTTATGATCCTATGCATCACTAGATTATAATTTAACCGTTATAATATTGTCTAGATATCAATAAAAGTCATCTTAAAGAATTTTAAATGCTGTATTGTTTGCCCAAACAAAAGTTCATATTTTGTACAAATCAAATCAACAGTCGCGGTATACAACTATTA